TGGAACAGGCCATTTCTTCCTTCAACCAGGCCACCAGCCTTCTGGAGGGTACCCAACGTGAGTTGGAAGCAGAGAAGAGAAAATCTCGAGACGAGCTAGCTAACCTGCAGAGGAGACTTGACGAGGCCAACGCTCGACTCTCTAATTCTGAGTTCTTGGCCAGGGAATTCAAGAAAACTCAAGAGTATGTTGACTTGCAAAACTCTGCCATGGAGTGCGGTGTTTCCTGGTCTCTCCGTCAGGTTTCTACTCAACACCCTGACATTGACTTTTCCTTCCTCCCGGAGCGTTTTAGGGCCGAGCGTGACGCTCCTGACGACATGGATGACGACGACGACGAGTAATAGGGTAGCTTGAGCGAGTAGTTCTTACGGTTGACTTTTATGTGCTTTGTCACTATGTTGCTTGTATTCTTTTCTTTGGAATCATCAATTAACCCTCTTACCAGTCACTGGCTTACAACTCTAACCCTGATGGAGTTTTGTTGCTTTCTTTTCGTAGGTTTCTAACTCGTTGGTCATAGCCAATGGTTTTACACCCGCTGTTGCTTTTTGTATTTTTACTCCATCTCATGTTTTAACCGTGCTAGGCCGATTGACCCGCTTCTGGTTTGGCCGTGTTGAGATTGTTTAATTGTTCTTTCCGAACATGTCGATTAAAGTAGATTCATGCTTCGTCGCACATGATCGGCGTCGAGTGATGGTCGGACCCGAGCAGTGGTCGGTCCACGAGCCGTGTATAGTCGAAAATAAGACCTATTAACAAACATAGGCTATCTCGTAAAACCGCCGACTAATGTAGATCTGTGCCTGTTCGCACTTGGTCGACGCCAACAGTGGTCGGACCCGAGCAGTGGTAGGCCCCGAGCCCTGCTCGGCCTGCTCTGTATAGCTGGTTTTACCGTCACCGAGTATGATTGGATTTACCAAGCTTACGTCGTTGAGTAGCCGTAGTCGGTACCTGTTGCCCCCTACTCTCAATTGTATTGTCGATATCCTTTGAGAGTACGCTTGTAGACGAGACAAAGTATTTTATCAAAAAGTCTCTTGGTATCTCGTTTTGGATTTAATAGATACAGTTGACAGAGAATCAAATAAATGGGTACTTTATTGAACACAAGGAATTATAATTAGAAATCTTGTTAAAAGTAGAAAACAACCATATTTGAAGGACGAAATAAAAGGTCAACAGCCCCCTTAGCAGAATTTCTGTCGTTGTCCCTCATTGAGGTATAGTAGCATTCCCGTGACACTCGTTGTTCTCCTTTAATTTCTCCTACCCCACCCGGTGTTGGGAACTTCATGGATTGGTGATATGTGGATGGTATTGCTCTGAGCATATGCATCGTCGGTCTTCCCAGTATTGCGTTGTAGAAGGATGTGTAGTTAACGACCAGAAAGTCCACTATCTTGGTGACACTCTTCGGCCCACTTCCGAATGTTACTGGCAACTCTATCCTCCCTTCAGGGATGACCCGTTCTCCCCCAAATCCTACCAATGGTGCCGAACTACTCTTGAGCACCTTTTCTCCTAGATCCATAGCTTTATAGGCTGTCCAGGAGAGGATATCCGCCGAGCTGCCCCCATCTACCAAGACTCGATGTACTTTAACATTTGCTATCTTCAACGTGATAACAAGTGCATCGTTATGAGGGTGAAGGAGGTGAGTTGCTTCGTCTTCCGAAAATTCAATTGTCACCGGCCGGT